TCGAGTCTTCTTTAAATTCTCTCGGAATCCCATCCTCGCCTCTATCTTAATGCGACTTCAAATCTTGTCCTGCTCTCCCTCGCTTTCCAACTACATCGCCGCCCGCCCACATCACAACTCAGATGCACGGCTGGTTCAAGATCATAAATTCGGCGGAGCTTGAGCTTGTTCTATGTTCCCAGGTAGGTCTGTACGTAGGTATTCCACGGTACGGTCTGAATGAATAACGGGCGCCGGTTTCCAGGGGTTATCCGGGAGGTTGAAACTTGAATGCGCCGCTATTTATTTAACTCGAGTCTTCTTGGCACATCATCCCCGTGCGTCTAGTACGGCCCCTTAAAAGGCTGAAGGATAAACGTTGGCAGTAATAACCTTTCAAACACTTCGAGCCGCAATTTAAATGAAGTTACCCATAACCGTCTTTGCCCTCCTCCCGTTCCTCGCCGCCGTGGCCGCTACTGTGCGCATAATTAATTCTTGGCGTGTACAGCGTCCGATGACTAACCCACCGGCAGCCTACGGTCAACGCCGGGGCGTCCGCACGCAGCGCCAGCGAAGATCTCGCCGCCCGCGTACGCCTCGCATCTCATTTGTGAGGATACCTGACTCATCTTTGCCGCAGGTCATCTTTCCGGACTGCTTCAACCAGATGCTTTGCAGCGGGGCGCTCAACGTTGCGGCGACCAGAACGGCAATCGACCCCGAGGTCGCGCTGTGCACGGCCCGGGGATACGGGTGCGGAGACCCGCGCCTGCCTCACACAGAGGCCGGGGGCCCACCTCAGCTGGCGGCCGGGAAGATACCCGACGCCACCTGCGCGGCGAACTGCGTGTGCGCTGTGGTCTGCCCCGCGGAGGATGTGTGATATATCGAAAGGTTGAATATCGGAGATGTTCGAAATCGTTTTAGGGAGGTTGGGAGATTTCTTGGTGCGGCACGAGACAATACAATAATTCCATTAAAGCCGAAAAACGGCGTCTTGAATAACTCGGGGAATGACAGGAATCCGCGGCTGCCTCACAACAGGGGCTTGTCGGTCACACCCGGCAGTCACGTGCTACAATGATCGCGCGGATTGTTTCGGCCATCGGCGCACACTCTCGCTTCCTTACGTCCTTTTGAGTGCTTTACAACCTATTGGAAGGACGGGCACTCACTGCCATGTAATTATCGAATGGATTAGGCATGGGTAAGTAAACCTTCCTTTTTGGGAACACGAAAAAATTCTGGTTGTCTCATTAGTTTCGAGATCAGCTGTAAGGGCTGACGCGCTGATGATGTCGCTAAGAATTGAACAGCGGGTGCCTGCTAGTCTCTCGTAGACAGACGCTTCAACGCGAAGCTCGTACCTCACTTGTTGAAGGTACCTGCCGCATTCCGTTTCACAACGGCTGGAAGAAAATCGAAATATTGGGTTGAACTACTCGTAACCTAGTCTGCCTACGTTTGGCAAAAGATTAGGCTAGCTCTAACTTTAACCGCCGCGTTTGAGGTCATAACAGAAACCATCAAAAAGTTCAACTCGTCGCGCGTTTGGTTCGAGTTGTAACGTCTGCCTATGTACGGCAAAGAGCTCGCGTCATTTTGGGGCAATCATCCGCACTAAGTTACGAGTCCAGGGTGCCTCCAATGCGACCTGCACGGCGGACCAGTGCGTGTGCATGCTGTTTTTGTGGCGAAGAGTAATTCACGCTAGGCGAAGGCGGACACAGATGGGTTCAAGTGTTTCGCTACAAATGCATTAATCTAACACCGAAGGGGGATTATGGGCTATTATGGGCCGAGCTCGCGGGAAGTGCAATATATATTCACGGCTGATTCAGGGGGCAATCAATCCGGCAAGTTGAAACTTGATTGCGCCGCTATGAGTCAAGGCTGCATACTTACTGAGTCCTCTTGGGACATCGTCTCCATGCGTCTAGGTATGGCCCTGCATACTATAAAAGGCTGAAGGATTGCTATTGGCAACAAGCAACTTCCAAACACTCCGAGCACCGATTAGAATGAAGTTCTCCATCGCCATCTTTGCTCTCCTCCCGTTCTTCGCCGCCGTGGCCGCTACTGTGTGTATAATCACCTCTTCACGCGCCTATGACTGACCTCACCGGCAGCCCGCGCTCAACTCTGTGCGTAGCGCCAGCGAAGATTTGGCTGCCCGCGTGCGCTTCGCCTCTCATTCGCAGGGATACTTGACTCATCTTTGCCGCAGGCCGTCACGCCTCCGGGCTGTTCCTGGGAGCTGATTTGCAGCGGAAAAGTTGTTACTACCGGCATCGTGGCCACTACGTGCGCGCTCGAGGGCGTGTGCCCGACATCCACCGCCGGCTGCGGGGCGAACTGCATGTGCGAGCTGGTCTGCGTTGAGTAATTGTAATTTAAGTATCGAAAGGTTGGATATCGGAGATGTTCGAAATTGCTTTCGGGAGGGTGGCGGAGTTATAGTATTACTGATACTATAACTCCCTTGAAGCAAAACATCGGGAATTGCCCTGGTGCTTGCTGCTCTCATTCTAGTCCTGGAACTCCAGCTCCAAGACGACCTAGTAAACCACAACCGTAAGTATAGACCACGCTCCAGAAATACGAACACACCTCCTCAATAGCGTTAGCTATTTTCGGCGCCAGCACATTCTCAAGGAACTGGCCCAACTGTTGAAATCCGGTACTGCGACAAGCCCCGGGACATTTGAACATTTCTTCCACCGTCGGCGCCATAAACGCGAGCGTCGACAGTGGCGCTCTAGGCGTATAGACGAGTGCCGATGTTAGCCAACTAACATAGTTGGACATCCATGTTGTCCTAATTGCTCCTCCTTGGCGAGGGGGACATTGCGTGCACTGCATCCACACCCATTTGTGCGAGCGGGATTCAGGATCGACTGCAGCACTTGCTGCCGCCCCGCATTGTTGATGATACAACAACAGTCCTTGATAAACCTCGGAAGAGATCAGTCCGAGATATCCTGAGGCGTCGTTTTGGATGAGATCCTTAAGATGAAGCTTTAAACATTCCTTCGCAGCCTTCCTCGTCAACCCTTCCCACCCACAGTACCATCCCATCGCAAACACCGTGACCGGGTTGTCGACGAGATATTCCGCCAAATATCGCTGCCCCGTCTGCGCCAGGAACGTCATGCGGTACTTCACCATGGTCTCCAGAACCTCGCAAAGGTCATCCAGACTTTCGATGCACGGCTCCGCCCCGGGATACCAGAGGCGCAACATCCTGTCCAGGACGGCGGCGCTCTCCTCCAGTTTTACGACGGGGAGTGTTGGGTCCGGAGCCTGGCCAGCTTGGGGGGTATCGAACATGTCCTCCAAGACCGGCGATGCTCGCTCGAGAATTGGGCGGTAGAGGCGAAAATCGATATCGTCCGAGGAGCGCAGAATTATGTCGCCATCGGGATCATCGAACGGGGATGTGGGAACGGCTGGATCCGGAGTAGTAGACATTTGCTGGTCTGAGGGTGTAAATCTGAGCCAGAGGAGAAGAGGAGGGGACAGAGCGGAAGGTTGCGTGCGGCCTCGTGTTTGATTGCGTCCACGTTCTAAATTTACAGACGGTTCGTAATAACCTAGAGTTATGGCTTCCACAAAGATGTAAATTATACCGTTACCCGATCTAACCCAGAAAAGAGAAGAGCTCACATTCGTCGACAAAATAGTACCGAACTATTTAACAAGATGTTGAATATGATCTTACGAACGACTGGCAGCTTCAGAAACGTGATGCACACGGACCATCCGCAAACTCCTGCTTTATGCAAGACCAAGAGATTGGGGGCCAAGTCAAGGTTGATGACTGGGGAGAATGCTTCAGACTCAGGGGGAACGGTTTGCTCACTGCCCCCTCCATTTAATTTGAAAATAAATGACAGAACACAGGCATGTCCGGGTTCAAGTTGCCCGGTGCCGCGCCGCTGGTTAAAATTCATAATACCATAGAAAATTCAAAGTCTGAGAGTATTAGGGGAAGTCAAAGCTAGAATCGACGGCCGATTCTGGCCGATTCTGATGTCGATTCTTGACCGATTCTGGCGGCAGAATCGACCGAGAATCCACATCAAATTTGACCCCCCCGGTTCTGAGTTCGATTCTGAGCTCGATTCTCGGAGGATTCAGTTTGTAGATAGACAACTGATAATTAAAATTGAATATATTTTTCTGGGTCCCAAGCTTGCTATCTTATACCACGACACCATGCCACGGCTCACCTCGCGCCAGCGTCGGGTGCGCGACGTCCTCAATGTGTTCCTCCATCACCACGCCACACGCGTCAAGGCCGCCTTGCGACGGAAGAACAAAACCAAGCGCACACTTACCCGTGCTGGATTCACGCCCGAAATTCATGTAGAGGGCTTCTTTTTGCCCAGAGCAGAGGTTTTTACAGCAGGGGTTTTCGCCATAGTAGTTGTCGAGCAGTGAGCGCGATGTACAAGGGTAGCGGGCGGGGGGAAAATATATAATTTGATTGATTTGTAATATACTTTGAGTGGCGCCGGACCGGCATAGCTTACAGGGGCTCGATTCTGGGTGATTCTGCAAAAACATCGATTCTCGGTCGGAGAATCGATCCGAGAATCGACATCAGAATCTTCCCAGAATCGGCCTCCGATTCTAGCTTTGACTTCCCCTATTGTAGGGTCGAGAAGGACTGAAACCTCTTCTGAGAGAAGTAATTCACCAACGGACGGTATTGAACATAGAGGAAATCTGCGCACCGCAATATTAACTGCAAGGATGAAAGGACTTGATTGATAACTGAACCTGCGGACAGTGTCGTCTCTGAAAAATATTTTGGGATGGGCGCATGGTGCACTTGGCAATGGAAACGCATGTAGTATCGATACTAGTTAAGAATCGCGTCCCTTCGGAAAGGCGAATCTTTCCAATGCCAGAACAGCCGCGTCGCCTGGATAAACCCAAAGCTTGCAGCACTGTGGCTGAGCTTCGAGATGAGCCTGTGCTAGGGTATACACTTTGGAATAGGATCCTTCGTCGGGCACATGGTGTAGTTGGTTATCACGCTCGCTTAGCAACCGTACTGTGTTTGTGATATCACGTGACCGTCAAATGCGAGAGGTGTTGGGTTCAATTCCCAATGTGTCCATTCTTTTTCCATTTAAAAGAAGCCCAGCAATTTGTCTTTTCTGGCAGAATCTTTTCCTCACAACTGTTGCTCAATTCTCCCCTGCCCTGGGTTAATTTTTGGGAATTTCCTGGGGCCCTTAGATGTTAAGATCATACGAGGATCTAGTGAATTTGAGGCGGGGATCCTTGAGAGCTGGGGGGAATGAGATTTTGGCAAGTTTCGAGAGTTGTTGACGCTTATATATTGTCCATGGAGTGCAGAATTTCTTGCGGCGATACTTGAAATCCAGATTAAAGCCTGTAGAATATGTGGGGAAATGGTCCATTTTAGTATTACACCCGGCTTCTACGAAGAGCCCGACTAAGGACGCTCATTCTCACCATCAATCAGGTTTCGTTTAAAACAACTCCTCGACTCACACACGACCGTGTTAGGACACAGCCATGCCGGCCCATGGTGACTGTACAAGAGGTTCCGGGATGTGTGTAATAGCCAGGCACAAGACATGTGCCGTCGACCACAGATATTGACGACACACTGCCATTCAACGTCGGTCTAGCCAACGCGAATTCCATTTAGCATTTTTGAGCGAGGAGAAGAGGTGAGCACGAATTCCGCCAAGGACTCACGGGCACAATGAATTACAGTCTGGTTCTAGTTCTTGAGCGAAACGAGATGGCCGTTCCACTCTTCTACGATGGATCAACCGCGTTGAAGGAATCACTCAAGGCCGAATTTGGGCCCGACGTCAGGAATTTGTAATAAGGTCGAAGCTGAGCACGAGTTTGGTCGATATTCTGCGAGTACATTATCATTCGTCGCACTGAAAATGATATTAGAGGGTTGGCTACGTGTTCGCCTGCGCAAACTGTTCTCACCGGGGTGGACGTGCGTTAAGGCTGGATAGTGCGGCAGGACTCGGATGGAAAGGAGTTGATGCGGTGGAACATGAGAGAACTCAGTTGCCCCACTGCGTTGCATTCCGTCCGCGTCAGAGATATGCGACTCGTATGCATCGGAGCATGTTCGACGTGGTGATGACTCGGAAGGAAGCTGAAGCTCGAGTTCGAATTTTGAGAAACGGACGACACTGCTGGTGCCATAAAACAGAGGGATGTGCTACAGCCAATAATAGGAGTCGCGACGGAATAAGACGAAATAACTGTGAAATTGAGAGCTAACTTTGGGAGAGCGATCCCGATGCACTATGAGAAAGAGGTACTGTACTGACTTGAAGGTGACTTGAAGGAATTCCCAGATTTCAGGAGTAACACTCGTTGCACTGAGTTCCGCGACCCGCGCAAATTCGAGCATCGATGAATAAGCCTGGAGGGAATTACAGTTTACAGTAAGCTCGTTGCAGCCCTCTATAGACTCTATGTGATTTTTGAAAGACAGTCGTTCAGGATCACTTTGCTATAGAGAAGGGAGTCATATAAACGGGACGGAAGTAAAGCAAGCGATGAGGATTATAATGCTCACCGGAAGACACGCTCGATTGTTTAAAGAGTGGGCGCGATGGGTCCCGAAGGACGCACAGGGAAGCCTGGAGAAAGCCTAGTTAGCGGAGATAGCTAGCGCTGGGGTTGCAGATTGAAGGAAATGAGAAGACTCACACAGGGTAGAGTCATGCTTGTTCGGGATATAATCCTGAAAATGGAACAACGTTTAAGGTCTGGCGTTTAACTGCAAGTTGGGTCTGTGCGAGTAGGAGGAAGCTGTCTAAGCTGCTGACAGCTTGGATGCAAAGTCCAGGCCACTAAAAATGTCTGCGGTCACATTTGACGTCTTGACTTATCGGAAGGGGTTGGATCCGGTGATTAATATTGGGAAGATGACGGCGGAATGGAGAGTTGTCCTGAAAGAGCCAATTGTTTACCAAGTCGAGGAGGTCCGTGCTGGCGTCGGGAAGCTGCCAGACAATAAACAATGGCTCTCCATGATCTTACCCTTGTTCTTTTGTCTTGAGGTACAGTGTTGTCTGAGATGTCGTCCGCGCTAGATCTCTTTGAGGTCTAGAAATCATCGCCTGGAGCTAGCTGGAGCTGTTCGGGAATCTTCGGGACCTAGACACACAGAGAAAACAGTCCCCAGGAAGCTCTTTTTTTCTCGAAAGAAGTATGCGGCCGCCAAGGAATTCGGGATCCGCGCAAGCTCCGGCGGGTACAGGGATATTGCGGCGCAGAATGCAGTGCGGGGAATGCTTGACTCATGGGAGAGGGCAGTGCACACTGCCCAAGGCCGAAAAAGGAAATTGCGCAGCCACATAATTAAGCCTGCTTCTGCTTCTCGCCGCTGCTACTTGCTTGCTGCTCCTTGTAAACGGCTATATCCTCTGCCTCAAGGGCTCCTACGGACTCTCTGACGGTTCACCTCGCCTACCCAGCCGCTGCAGGCTCAGCAATCCCTCTATCTAACGTCGAGCGGAGGCCTTTGTGGGCCCACAGAATTGCCACAGAACTCGGCACTACAGAATCTACTACAGTCCAGACACCCCCCTAAGCTCGATTCAAGAATGGCAGACAAAAAAGTAGCCTTTATTCGTCTATCATACCTTCCGTTGACCCAATCTCAGGCAATGTCCCGCGCCCTAGGCGCCGCCTTTTTGAATCACCAAGTGGAGCAGCTGGAGAAGTCTGCTGCATCCGGGAACTGGCGGAGCAGAGTTACAAACGCCCAGTCCTCACCCAAGCGTGGCCAACAACCCGGCAGTAATGCGACTATCGCTACCACCACCAAGCCGGCCCCACGGAAGAAGACTGCTGGTGTCCTGGTTATCCCGAGGGACACAGCGCCGGCGAGCGTACGGCGCTCCATAGAAGAGGAAAAGGACGCGGACGTCGTGGTGGTCGATGCTAGCGTGCTTGTCCACGCCCTGCACCACGTGAAGAAGTGGTGCCGCGATGGTCGTCCCGAGATCGTTATCGTGCCACTCGAAGGTGTGTCTTCATCTCTGTGTACCGAGGAATACGCTAATTTGCGCCTTTAATTAGCCCTCAACACACTTGACCTGCTGAAGAAAGGGACCTCGGCGCTCGCACAGCGCGCCCGCGCTGCCTCGCGCATCCTGGAAGCACAAGTGGGCACAAACCCCCGTATCCGCGTGCAGCAAGACCATGCCTTCGTTCCTTGGGATTCTATCCCCTTTTCGACGGCTACGACAGCCACGTCCACGACCGTTGCGCCTGCGCCCCCGGCAGACCCTCTCGATGCTTCGCCCGAATGGCTCCGCCGCACAGTCTGCTGTGCGCGCTGGGAGGTAGACGCCGCTACCGGCGCTCCTGACGCCAAAGGGGAAGCCAAGGACAAAGGCCACGCCACGCTCCCTCGTACGGTGCGCCTCGCGGTCCTCTCCTCCGCCGCGCCCCCCATCAGCACCGCCGACGGCGGCGCCCTCACCAAGCACGAGCCCCGCGCGGCGGGGACCCTCGTCAGCCACTGGGCCGCGCGCGCGGGCATCGCGGTGCTCCCGGTCGCGCCCTCCACCGGTGCCCCCCACGCTGCGCCCGGCGCTGTGCCTGGGAACGGCGCGAGCACCCCCAACGCCGCGGAGCCCCCGCGGCGCCCGCGCGCTGGCACGCAGACCAAGCGCGGCGGCGGCGCGGGGATTGGTGGCAGCAGCGGCGGCAAGGGGAGCAGCGGCCTAGTCGAGCGCCCGCCCGCGGCGCTCGCCATGGAGGTCAGCCCGCGCGTCGTGCGCGTGCTCGCGCGCGGGGAGCGCCTTGACGCCGGGGCGTGATCGCCGTCTAACACATCGTGAGTGCTGTCCCTCCGCCCCCTCTCCCCTACTGATGTCAATGATGGCCCCAGGACACACTACGCTACATATAAGAGGAATCCTATCCACGCGCTGACCCCGCGCCATCGACATTACCACCGACCTTTCGCCCTCGTGCTGGACGAGTTCCATGCCGCATTGATTACCCCCCGGGGATTCATGACTCCCACAACACAGATGGATGCGCGATATGGCGCGGGATAAGGATACGGATATGACGGAGGGATTATGGCTCGGATTATGATCGATTGAATGACTCTACTCCTTCCCTTCCCCCCAGCTATCTGTCTGACTCTATGCGGCGCGGCACGCGCCAGTCTACTGCCTACCTATCTACCTACCTACCTATGTACTGGTTTTTCTCTGTTTCGTCTAGTCTTGATTATGCATCCTTTTTCCGTCTACGTATCCCTCTGCATGGGGGCAATGGTAAATCGCTCCCTGTTTTGCAGCACGTAAATATAAGCTCCTTGACATTGTACATGTATGCTTCTCGAATTTCTAGGGCCGACCCCGCGCCATCGACATCATTACCGACCTTTCGCCCGCGTGACATATAGAGGACTAATAGTTTTTATATTCCCCTTTGTTCTCCCTTTCAAGGCGTGTCGAAGGCTGAACTACCCTTGAAAGCCCTTATGACCCTTCTAAGAGGGTTCCTAGTCCTTTCAAAGGTGGTGAAGAAGCTCTTTGTCAGCAACGCCCAAGCATTCTGCCCGTCTGGATTGACCATTCTCCCTGCTCGACTAGCCCCTCGGCCGCGCTACGTCTCGCTCGTTTTGGTTAATCCTGCCCATGGCTGGCTCTTGTCTTCCACCCCCAGAGCGTAATCGTCCCTCTGGCGTTCCGCATCCTTTCCACCACGCGCCTCTCGCTTCACCAGTGATATAAGTCCTAGTCGACGATGCAGCGCAAGCGATACGAGAAGCGAGGGGGATTGAGATGATGTATCCGTCCGTGGCGAGTTTACTCATTCATTGCGGCTAGTCTCTCTTGACAAACTCCATCTCTCGTTCCTCGTTCTGAACATTGCGGCCCCTTCATCATTTCAGTTCGTTTCAATGCACACTTCTCCGACGCGGCCCTCTGCTCCAAATTCCGACGCGCGTTCCGGCCGCGTCGTTGTCCACTCTCAACAGCTTCGCCATTCTCCGTATCATCATGCACGTCGCGCGAGTCTGCTTGGTCCAGCGCAAGACTGATAATCGTCGTCGTCCCTGCTTTGTTCTGTTGGCCGGCCTCTATTTCTGAATCGCAGCCATCGTTCACCCATCATTTCCTTTTCCTTTATCCAGCCGACTCCCTCTGCGTCGTCCCATCTACCGTTGCGGCCCCGTGCTGTTCAGCGTGTTTATGCGCTCCTCGCGCCTCTCTTGTATGTCTCCATCATGTATTCCTCCTACCCCTCCGGCGATGGATCCCACGTTGTAATCCTCGTCGGGAATGAGCATCCACCAGTCACGAGTACGTATCCTCTGGATCTGCCGTCTTTGAAATTACACATTATTAGTATGCTTCGGACCAATATTGATTGCAAAGTATACTCTATATCGCACAGTATGACGTCCGCGCCTCGTCTCCCAACTGGCTCAAGATCTGCGCGCGTCCCTCAGTACGTCCAGACCCATTGACAGTCGCGGAGCATCATGGCTAGCGACGCCGCATGCTGAAGGATGTGCAACATGTGCGCTCCTCCCTCTTCATTTCTTGCTGAGAAGCTAACGCGATGTGCGTAGCGGTTCAGGTTCTCCCCGTCGCGGATGCAGTCCGGAGGTGCCTCGAAGATCCGGGGGCGTTGGACAGGGTGCATCCCGAAATTTCTGCGTGAAATGCAGCGTTGTCATTTTTCCCGGGATTGAGACGAGTGGCGTTCTGCGGGCCATTTGGAACGAATTAATAGGCAGTGCAGCGCGGAAACCCAGAGCTAGGAATTCGATATGTACTGCTCGCTTACATACCGCATTGTCGGTTTGTTTTGTATGCCGAGGGCTATGGTGAATTCGGAACGGAATTTTTGGGGCGCCAGAGCTTTCAACGGCCTGCTAAAAATAACAGTCGGTCCACAAGGAGCTTCTGGAAGAAATGTCACAGCGATGTGGTTCAAAAACCGGATTCTCTCCGGACATAATTGACAAGTTCCGGGAGATATATTCTGATGCACAATGAGAAATGATTCGCGCGGGAATCTCAACGAAATCCCGGGGAACAGACTGTCTAGAAATTCCAGGGTGAACTTGTGATGTGAATTAAGCAGTGCGAACCATCCACTTTCTACATAGCAGCTAAATGCGCTGGAGGCAGATACTCACCAGAGTAGACCGATCTTATTTCCCCGGGAATGACTAGGAACTCCCGGGCAGAATCATAATCTGAGATTTCGTGCGGCTGCCTTGTTGGTGATAAAAAGGATGAAATTTCTCCCCTGGACTCCTCAGCGTTTCCCGAGAGAAAATATGTTGTTATCACATTCGGTGTGTCAAGAGCCTCGCGTTATTGGGCGTTCATCTCCCCAGAAATCAGTAGGAATTCCCGGGAGGAATGTAGTTGGAGCCGTCATGATGCGTCGAGCGCAGAATCTTTCCTGTTGATTTCCTGGCTCTATCTGGGTGGCTCTAATTTCCCTCTTTTTGCCTTCCGGGCCGAAGGCAGATTCATCCAGATTGTATTGCAGGCATCGACGACATTGACTTCAATCGCTAGTATCACGCGACCAATACGCGACTCAAATCTTAGAGACATGATAGAGAATATGTGCCTTTCAAATGAGCGTCAAGATAGTCAGTCATGGTAGACTTATCCCTCTACTGCGTGTGATTCCCGGCTCTCACTCACTTGGAATTCGAACTCGACCCTCGTTACCACAGTGACACAAGCACCCGAGGCTTACAGTGGCTAGTTTGAACGCATAATAGCCCAACAACCTCGCGCAGACCATTTCGGCATCCTCAACATTCAATACTTGCCGTTAAGCATACTAAGGGAAGTATGCACGTCCTACTACCGGGTCCTCAACCAGGGAAGCAACCCAAAAACTCGGAGCTTTTCATAATCTCGCAGCCGGTCATGCGTAGGAACCGCATATTACTGCAGAATCGATCTTGCTACACTGTCAATATTATGTGGACTTTGAACTTCGAGCTTTAGCTATTTTATTCGACGTTCGGGTCTGCCTTATTATACTGGTACCGTTGGATGTGTTCCAACGATGGGAAATACTCACCAAATCAAAGAATAATATGAGTGTTGTTGTCGATGAAAACTCGGAGGTTCGGTTGAAGTACGGTAATGTTTGGCTCAGATGCAACCAAAATGCAACTGTTGAAGTTCTCACTGATGCAATGTTTCCATGCCTTTAGTACTGGGCCAAAATTGAGTCTTTCAACATGCAAAAGTTTCTTGAAGTGTTTGATTTCATAGCCACAGCATTCGAATGGGTCAAATCTGATCGCCCTAATATAGTCGTGGATACTGCGTAACTGGAGGAACGGGGACCTATTGGAACATAGAATGAAGAGCAGCTCACTCGGGCCTTGGGAAGGGGAAAAGAAGCAAGGGAGAACCATTGCAGAACGAAGCAAAAATAACTTCCGGTACGGGGAATCGAACCCCGAGCTACCGCGCTGTTCAAACGCTTACGTAAGCATCTTACGTAACCCAAATCAAAGAATAATATGAGTGTTGTTGTTGATGAAACTCGGAGGCTTGGTTGGGGTACGGTGAGGTTTGCCTCAGATGCAATCAAGATGTAACTGTTGAATATTCTTACCGATGCAAAGCCTCCAAGCTTTTAGTTCTGAGAGTAGGACCAGGAGTGAGTCTTTCAACGTGGATAAGTGTCTTGAAGTGTTCGATTTTGTAGCCACAGCATTTCGTTTGCAGAGTGGGCTTGAAGTCTCAGATGTGATCGCCTTGATATAATATTCGCGGATAATGCACAACTGCAAGAATGACGACCTATTTCAACTTAAAGTGAAGAGGAAGTAAGGAAGGAACGTTCCAGAACGGAGCAAAACGAGAAAAAAGATAAATTCCGGTACGGGGAATCGAACCCCGAGCTACCGCGCTTTTCGGTTTGGTGTAATGGTTTACGTAAATGCTTACGTAATCCAAAGACCTATTTCAACTTTAACTTAAAGTGAAGAGGAAGTAAAGAAGGAGCGTTGCAGAACGACGTAATCCCGACAAGAAGCCAGTTCCTCAAACAAGACCACACACGCTCTGGAGCAAACAAGACCACACGCGTCTCATCTGCTGCACACTGCCATGGCCCACCGCCCCGCCCCCACGATCAGAGCGCACGCCCTCGCCATGAAGACATATACAAAATTCGCGTACGAGGAGCTCGGTGGCGTCCGGTTCGCGTCCGCCGTTCCTGGCCTGGGTACGTAGTATCCCAGCTCTGGTCTGGTGTTCAGCTGATTGCTTTCAAGTCCGGCTTAAGGCTTATGCAAACTGGCTCTCTGAAGGCTTTGCTTCTACCAACGCCCCGCGAGCGGCGATACGAACCTTTATCAAAGCTCGGTTATTCGAATTACGTGTCGCCTGGAAATACACCCACAGCACCGTCATCTCTGGCCAGGACACGCGAGACGCGCAGAAATACGTCAACAGTCGAGAGTTTGTGAGTTGTTAAATATATTCCCGGCTCGTCGCTGAATACAGATTAAAGTACGAGTATCTCAATGAAGAGACTGCGTAGTTTGTCTTCTGTAATTTTGGGATACGCAATCCAATGAAGTTTGGTTCAAACCGACCGTTACCCCGACGGGTTCCGTCGGTGAAATGGCATGTCCATGTACCCTGCGTGGCTCCGTTCTGACTGGCTTTCTGAACTTATTCTCATCTCCGATATGGTGTAGCGTAACATTACCGCCCCTCAGTGAGACTTAACAGCACTCCGAAACGAGGTAGCCGTGTCGGAATATTTTGCACCATCCGTCCTGTGAATCCACAGGACAGTTTCAACTTGAACGTTCGCCATGGTGTTCGATTACGGAATTTGAGTACCGGCCGCGGGAACAAAAACAAGTTCCGATACGGGGAGTCGAACCCCGGGCAAGTGCGCTCGAGTTCGACGCTGAAAGGCACCTATGTTACCGCTACACCATGTCGGATATGAAGCAGGTTCCCCAGTGATAGCTATCTCCTGCAGACGCGTATGCTCTTGTTTGATCCTCATGCTCCGACAGCGCGTGTGGCCTTGTTTGGGCGCCTGCTTCTCTTTCTTCACCTTTCCAACCCCGACTTGACTTGCGAGCAACTCCAGTTGACGTGCCCGAGGTCAGCGCGCCAATCGGGATCCAGGACCCCCATTACCCGGATGCTTCCTCTGGTAAAAACCCAGTTGGAAGATCCGCGGTCTCCTCTTCCTCTTCACATTAGACAGCAATATGCAATCTTGAAAAGTGTCGCAACGCGACTCATTCGCCTGGCGCAATCGCTGGAGCCGACCAAGGGTCTTTCTTTTACGTCGTCCACCCAAATCCGCCTCCGTATATAAGGCACGGCCCATGGCATGGATTTCGGTGCGCCACTTGGGCTGCCCCATCCTCTCAATATCTTGAATTTCTTGAAAATGGTGCTTCTCACGTCTGCCGCCATCAGCGATCAAGAACGCATCAACCGCAAAATCGCCTCCAACCCTACCCTTGCAGACATATTCGCCCGCGGCCTTGACGGCACGTATCACTTCACGCAGCTCGCGCAGCCGACCCTGGAGATGCACGACAACGTCCGGGGAAAATGGCGCGATTTCACAGACTGGCATCCGAAGCGCGATGGACTACCCGCGGAAATCGAGCTTGGGTCCGAACTTGTGGATGAGGGTGCGTCGCCATTTACTCTGTCTCTCGCTTGTGCGCACGGCTGATGTTCCTCATCCAGGAACTATTAAAGAGTTCGTTACGTATCTAGCAGCGGCAACCAAAGGCAACCTCACCGAGAACGCGACGCGTCGGACGATTCGTCAATATGTCTGTACCTTCTTCGCGTGTTGGGCGCGCTACGCGAATCAGCACGCGTCGAAGGCCCTGCGCTTCCAGGTCAATGCCTTTGTCTCTTCAATCGAGCTCCGCACCGTCGCGCCTCTTTCTACCGCAATTCGTGCAAAACCCATCCCCACGGCGCTAGACCTCACAGATCTTGTCCGATTTGTTATAAACGACAAGGCAGTCTTCCGGACGTTTCGCGCTAAACAGCAGTTCATCGCTGTCAACACCATCGCCGCTATGACGGGTCAGCGTCCCGGCACCATTGTCGAAAGCGTCTGTTACAAAGGCTCAAATGAGTGCATCCAATGGCGGGATATATCGTTCATCATTACCCCCGACCCCGACGCCCCCAACACCCCCTTCCACGCCGCCGGCATTCGGTTTCGGAACCCTAAAGGCCACCGAGACGACGAGCAGCATTTTACGACGGTGATTATCACCATGGCGCCCTTGGGTTCCCGCGCTACTTGCCTGGTCACCATGCTTTACTACTTTGGGCTACGGGACGGCGTCTTCCCGGACGTTGAGACGGCCGAGGAGATCTTTCACCCCCAAGTCGCCCCCACCGCCGCCCACATCTTGTCCCTGAAAGAAACGGCGCAATTGCAACCTGTCTTTCGCGCAGAGGTCATTGGCACGGACGGGAATTGGACGACTTCTGAAACCAAGGCACTCCGAGGTGCTATGCACAACGACCAGATGCGGCGGGCAAGTTTTGCAATGGGGATGAGAGGTACGCTTTTTTCACTTCCGAATCCCATGCGCGTTCTGATCCTGTCCCTAGTAAACCTCAAGATGTACTGCTGGCGCCGCTTGGCCAGCAACATCTTCGCAAAGATCCTCTCCGACGTCCAACGCGACATGCTTTTAACCCATACGCCCGGGACGCACATGTTTCAGGTATGTTGGGTAATCATTTTCCAGCACTTACTCAATTTGGTCTCCACTTTCAGCGGTCTTACATGACACGCACGTCGACGCACGACCTCGCCGGTCTTTTACATGGCCGGGGAGAGGACCCTCGCGCCGTTGCCTTGGCCGAGGTAAGTAGTTCCACCTTTTGCCCGACTCCATCGCTGATTTGTTTCAAGGCGTCCAACGGCATGTCGGTCGGCCGTGACTCGAACGCACCGACACAGCTGACCGTCAGCCAATTGGCGGAACTCGACCGGGAACCAGTATTGGTCACGATGCGCGAGGAGCTCGCCGCGGTACGCCCATTCTTCACTTTCTTTTACCTTGCACTCAGGCCGCCGTCGCAGCTGAAGGAGGGCGTCCATGAATTGGTCATTGAGCTGAAAATGCTTGACCACGAGGACGACAGTCTAAACGACGAGATTGCCGATCTGCATGGCCGTCTCCGCGTCCAACGAAAAAAACTCGAAGAGGTCAGGGCGGAACACGACTCCACCGTCAATCGGGAGCGTATTTTCAGACTTGGGCAAGCGCGCAAAGTTTTTTTCGCAGGGGCGTCGACGAGGCAGTTGACGGGCGAGGTATGTCACAGTTACTGTTTGTGGACACAGCTAATACCTCCTTTGACTAGGCTCCCCCTTCTGCGGCACCCAGGGTTCTGGCGCGTCCCCCGCTCGCCGACAAGACCAAGACGGCGACAGTCCCGCAGCCCCCCCGCGTCATCACCTCCGCCGGCAAAGAAAACGTGATTATATCATCTCCCGTCCTCCGCGACATCAAGACGGTCGATCCCACCACCCGGCTCTGCGATATTGTCTACCGCTTTGCCGGATCCGACCCCGCCGACGAGGCCGCGGCCTGCGTTAGCGTGTACCTGGGGCTTCCAGAGCGTCGACTGGCCGCCTGCTATCCGGGGGAGTCGCCGACGGACGATGAGAAGTGTCCTGTGTGCAAGTGTGACTGCAGGTATGTCATCGGTTCACTGCGCCATCCAACGCTCTGACCCTCCTCTCTGTAGAGCGCGCGCCTTCGACAAGTCCGGATCAGTCACGGTCGGCTCGCATATCCACGCATGTCTGCTTGCTGCCCAGCAAAAGAAGGTCCAATCGCACGTCGAGGAGGAATACCAAGCGCGCCGCTGTGACTGGGACGGGTGCAAGACCCCCCGCAAAATCTACGCCACGCGTGTCAAGTTCGTCGAGCATGTACAGAAACACCTCGCAACCCTTTCGTTACCGAAGACAATGTTCTTCGATACACGGCCTTGCGAGTGGCTCGACGACGGGGAGATTTGTGGCGAGGAGGACGAGGCGGATTGGGACAAACACTTCGGACAGGTCCACTTGATAAATGTCAAGCCGAAGGTGGGGGTGCATTATTGCGCAATTTGCCCCGAGTGGTACGTCGACGCCGCCCATTTGATGCGAGTTTCCATTGACCACATTCCTAGGCATGTCGATGAGCTCGGCGATGGGCTCGCGTGGGAAGACCACCTATGGGGGCACTGGGACATTCTCTACGGTTCCTTCAGCGTCCGCGGCAAAGGCGACGTCGATCTGACCCCCATCGGCGTCGAATTTTCCGCCCCGATCGACAACGCCGTTGACTATGCTCATGGAACGGGCTTTGACGGCGCCGCGCCCGAGTTCCACGGGGAAGCGGATCACGGTGTGGCGGAGGTGCCAATGCACTGTCCGTGGTGCGTTTACGATGAGTCCTTAGCCATCGAGGAGAAGATGATACAGTGCGTCATTCCTTTCATCTTGCTACCATCCCTCGCTGATCATAACACTCTCCCACTCAGGTTTCTCACCTACAGCGGGTTCTCTGCGCACGTCAAGATCCACGGGGAGGACATTGCCGACGACAAGCAGGAGTGTCCCGTCCCATCTTGCGGCACGCACGAGTTCTCCGCCGCCGAGCTCAAGGTGCATATGATCGCGTACCATCGGATACCCCTCCATGGTTACGGCCGCAAACAACTCGTGAAGCGGCTTCGTCTCCCTCCCATCACCCCCCCTCCCGCCGCCGCCGCCGCCATCGTCGATCTCACCCACACGGAAGACATGGACATCGACGCCGTTCCCCTTCACGCCGCTCTCGCCCCAGCCACGACGCGCACGGACAACGTCAAGACCCTCAAAACGGAGCGCCTTGCGATTGCCGCGGCCGCCGTCGAAGGTTATTGCTTGGGATGTAGTACGCCCTACTCCAACATCGGCAAACATATCCAAGGCACCAAATGCAGGCAACGGAACGAATATACGGCCGTCATGGACAAAAGGCGGGTGGGCGCGACCCTCAAGTGGGACTTGACAGTGAGTAACGCGCCCCTCTGCAACTTTTCTTTCCTTGCTCAATGCCGCCCCAGGATCCCGCCCCGGCAAGGCTCGGGCAGGATGAGGTCATGACTCATCGGTGCGCGGGTCCTTGTCGGCGTTCCTTCGTGCACATATCCGCGCATTTGGCCACCGCCTGCAAGGGTAAACGCTTCAGGATTGTTAGTAACCGCAAGGACCGGGACAGTGCCCCAACTTTTGAGATCGCCATGTGGCTCGCGGAGGTTCGTCTTTCCGCTCCGTGCATTGATTTCCTGCTCATCGCCCTTCAGCACCCCCAGGCCGGCACCAAACATCAACGCAGCGCGTCCCCGGTGAGTAATGAGCATTGTCGCATGTTACCTTGCGGACGCTGATGCTCCTCAGGCCGACACTGAAGAGGTTGAGCCCGACGTATACTCTTTCCTCTGTCATCAGTTAACGTATTGACGTCACCTTGCAGGACAACCGTGGCGAGGGATCATCCAAACGGGCTCACGTTGAGGTGCGTCGTTGACGACTCTCACTCCCTTCCCGCGTTGATGTCTGCCATTTTTCAGCCCTCACGCTCGCCATCGCCCCGCGTACCTGTGAGTTGGGCGTCCTTACCTTCGCTGTACCATTACCTAATCGCCTCTAGATGTTTATGTGCAACGGGTGTCATACGACGTACATCGAGTCCACGGAACTCGCGTCCCACTTTGTTGCCCTGCGCAAAAACTCAAAATGCAAAAGGAAAATGTTCCGTACCCGCAAGCTCAACTCATCCAACCCGGCGCGAGTCTGGAATCAGGTGGTCGCGTGGGAGAAATTTGAGAAAAATCCTGATGGGGCAGGCGCCGAGTAGAATACAATCGTTCGTTTGCACATACAAATGTTTTTTCCTTCGAT